CTCCTCTCTTTCAGGGGGTTGTTGGGATGCTTGGAAAATATTGAGTTTCACTTGCATATTCTCAAATGAAACATCCATAGCCCCGGTATGACAATTTATACATGCATTAGCCGTAGCCAAGAAAGGTCGACCTAAGATCACCGGGATTTGTTTCCTAGAGCTAGCTACCGGTTCCATATCTAAAACCACCAAATTAACAGGAAAATAATACCTATTAACCTTTATTAGCACATCCTCAATCATGCCACGTGGCACTTTGAGGGACCGATCAATCAATTGGAGTGTGATAGTAGTGGGCTTCAAATTGCCAAGCCGAATTCCTTGTACACAGAGTACGGCAACAAATTGACACTAGCCTCTAAATCTAACAAGGCCCTATCAATGAAATAATCCCTTATAATGCATGCAATGGTTGGGGCACCCGAGTCTTTTAGCTTAGAGGGCCTGTCACTCAACAAAATGGAGCTTACTTGCTCTGTGAGTACGATTTTTTAGGACACGTGTGTCCTAGATTTACGCTTTTGCGTACATAGGTCCTTCAAAATTTTTGCATAGGATGGTACCAATCGCCTCGAATAGAAGAAGATTGATTTTAACTTGTTTAAAGACCTCCATCATCACTTCCATGAATGTTGCCTTCTTTTTAAAAGGAGACGATGTATTAAGGCGTCAGGGAAATGGTGCCTTAGGCATATATGGTGCCTTAGACTCATGTGAAGTACTAGGGACTAAGTCATTCCCTTATGCGTTTCTCCTTCACCCTTGCTCTTATTGGGTTTACCACCGTGGTCACTCTTCTTAGCCCTAGTTACATCAGACGCAACTGACCGAAGCTCTAACTCCCTCCCACTTCTCAAAGTAATAACCGCTTGCACCTATTCATGGTGCTTTCCATTCCCACTTGACCCCTCTACCCCACATTGACCCTTAGGGTTGGCCACAGTCTGACTTGGTAATTTTCCCTCCTCTCTCCTATTCATGTTATTAGCCATTTGACATAATTGAGCCTCTAGCTTGGTAATGAAATGAGAGTGAGAGTGAACTACTGGTGTTAAACCCTTAAGCTCTGAAAGAACTTCCAACACCTGAGTCTTACGGGCTGAGTTGCTGTCGCGACTCAAACCCGCCCCTATATGTTTAGTGTCGTAACTGGCCAGTAATCATTGGATTACCAAAGGCCTCTTAATAGAATAACATATAATTACGGACTGCGGAAAACTTAATTCAAAAAACTCAAACCAAACACACTGATTATTTTTATTAATAATACTATAAATTTAGGTCTCATTTGGGAACAGACTATTTTAGTAACTTTTTGATTTTTGTACTAAAATATGAGGTACAAAAAAACTTATGTTTAAATGATTTTTTAATTTTTTTCGAAAAGATATGTAAAAAGTAGAGCAAAAATGAAATCTTTGATTTTTTAGTATAAGTTATAAACTTTTAAATTTTTTTAATAACTTTTTGACTTTTAGTTTAAAACAAGCACATGCCAAACGAGATCTCAAACTTATGAACTCAAAATTTATTTAAAAAAAATTAATAATTTAAATTTATTTTGTTTGTAAAATTTACATTTCATCAATTTAATATTTATCACACGAACACTCAATTATAAATTAATGAGGATGATTTCATACCATTTTTATGTTTTTATTTATACATACAAAATAAATACGTAAATAAATATGTCACTATCGGATTAGATTCGAAATCAAACATCCGAACGGAGAACATTTTTGCATTTTGGACATATATAACGATCCTCTTACATATCGAGGCGATTTTTTTGGCCTTTCGGTCTCTCTCCCTCATTCTTGTGCAGAGCGCCCTCCTATTTCCCCACCAAACCAAAACTCCTCTGTCTCTCTCTCTCTCTCTCTCTCTCTCAAAAGCATGCGCAAAATCTTCTGTCTCTCATTTGAAGGAGAATTCTATTATACACCTTTTATATTAGAAAAATGTTGGATATTTTAATTTTTTTTAAAAAATATTTTATTAAGGATTGGTTTGACATATTTTTAAAAAAATTTAAAAATTATTAAAAAAATGGGAGATGCACCAATAAATCCCAAATTAATAACTTATACACTGTTTAGTCCTAAAAGTTTTCTTATAGACTGAAATGTCCCATTATAATGTTTCATACATCAGATTAATGTTTCGAACATTAGATTTCGAACATCAGATTAATGTTTCAAACATTAGATTGATGTGTAAATGGGACTAAATGGAGCATAAGAAAACTTTTAGGACTAAATGGTTTAACTTTTCAGAAACTAGGACTTACGGGTAAATTTTCCTAAAAAAATTTAAAAATTATCACTATTCATAAAAAAAATATAAAAAAAAATTAATTTTATAAAAAAAGTACAACTCACATGTCACGTGAGTTGTACTTTAGCTGCCTACCGTTTGTACAAAAAGAATAGGCAGAGAAGCAAACAAGACAGTGCTGTTTGGCTCGTGGGGGCTCATCACAAGTCTCGTTTTGATAATTTGAACCGTTCAATGTGTAGAACTCGTCGAGTAATATATATTTGTAAAAAATCATGTTGATCAGATATCGCTAACTACATGATCAAATTAGTTTTGTATAAAAAATAAATGGTGTTATAGTTAATGATTGACAAAAAACTAATCCGATCAGATAACTATCGATATCCAATCAACATAATTTTTTACAAACATATAATACTTAACGAGTTCTACACAGCGGTTCCGATTAGCAAAACGGGACCTGTGGTGAGCCCTTACGAGCCGAACAACGCTGACCAATTTAATGACCGAAAAGGAGGCAAGCTTCTCCTATACATTACTTTGCCCACCGTACTGCTTACTTTACCCAAGCTTCTTTTATATACTAATTTATACTATTTTTTAATACACATTTTTTTATAAAAAGTCAAAAAGTTATCCCAAATAATCATATTTTTTTCCTCAATTTTTTAGTCAAAAAATTTAAAAAATGCACTTATTTAGAACACCCCAGACAACTCCTAAATATTTTATATAGATTTGAATTTTATATTTATGTATTTATGTGAGATATTTGATAAAAATTATACAACATTACTCTTTATATTATATATATTTTTAATTAAAATATTATTTTAAGATATTTAATTATAATTTTTTTTATGTTTAATTATAATTTAAAAAAATATAAATTTATATTTTTTTTCCATAGTTATAATATTGAAACCGCCCGCAACCGCCCGCACATTTGCAAACCCTATCCGCACAAACCGCAAACCGCACTGCGGGCGGTTGCGGGTTGACTTTTTCCCAAACAGCATAGATGCGGGCGGGTCAAAACCGAACCGCAAACCGCACAAAACCGATCCGCGAACACCCCTACTTTTTTCTCATTTGAGTTTAGGCATTGGGGTGGTTGAGAAGAGTTTTTTTTTAGTTTTTTTGGGTTAAAATAGTACTAAAAAATAAAATAGGTTAAAATAATTAATAAGGTAAAATGTCATATTAAATTTATAATCATTTTATTTTTTTTTTACAAATATTACATCTAACTACAAAAAAATCTAGTTATCTTTCAAAACACAAAAATTTTAACAACGTAAAATAACCAAAAACTAAAATAACTAGTAAAATAGCAACTTTCCAAATACCCACATTATTTTTTATAAATTAAATAAATGTATTTATTTAACTAAGTACATATACATATGTCAAATTACCTTTTATTTTTTTACACATCATTTAATAAAAAATTAAAAAATATACTTATTTAAGAGAAATGCCAGAAATTTTAATTTTATCAAAATTTTTAGGGCAAATTGCACTAACAGTCCCTATAGTTTGGGATTTGTGTCACTTTAGTTCCTAACTTTTTAATTGTGACACATTTGACTTTGAATTTTGAATCTTGTTCTAAATAAGGACAATTGAACATACCATTACTTAATTTCAAGGGCAAAATTATCAATTTGATAAAATATAAACTAATTTGATAAAAATAAATGTCAAAAAAATATTTTAAAATTTTTAAAAATTATTTCTATTCACCAAAAATAAAATTATGTAAAATTGATAAAAATTACATGATTCATTTTTTAAAATTAATTTTACATGATCATCATCCAAGTACATAATAAAAATTAATTTGGTAAAAAAATAATAAATGTCTAAAAGATTTATTAATTTTATATAATTTTTATCTTCAGTAGGTAGGAATAATTTTTAAAAATTCAAAAAAAAAAAATTGACATTTATTTTTGTCAAATTAATTTATATTTTATCAAATTGACGATTTTACTTTTGAAAAATCTAATAGTATCTTCAATTGTCCTTATTTGAAACAAGATTCAAAATTCATGGTCAAATATGTCACAATTGAAAGGTCAGGGATTAAAATGACACAAACCCTAAACTATAAGGACTGTTAGTGTAATTCACCCAAATTTTTATTCCTATCAAATATCTCATATGGGTGTAAGACCCGCACAATATGGGTCATACACCCATATAAGACTTTTGATAAAAATTTTGATAAAATTTAAGGTTAGTTTGGGAAGTGGGTAGACTTTTTCACTTTTTTAGCTATTTTAGCCTGGGCTAAAAAGCTGGGAAGGACTTTTTGACTTTTTGATTTTTTTGACTTTTTTTATAAGAAAATAGTGTAATGATTATGAATTATATGTGATATTTTATTTTTTATAACTAAAAAACCTATTTTATCTTTTGTAACTAAAATAACCAAAAAAAAACCCCTAATCTAACTTGCCAAACGGAGGCTTAATATTCTTATTTTTTTAAATCATCCCAGCCTCCCCTCTTCCTGTATAAACACCAAGGATCCTCTAGAGTTTTTTTTTCCTAAAGTTTCCTAAAGTGGTGTGTTGTATGGGTGAGATTTAATGCTAAAAAATTGATGTGACTTGTCATTAAATCTCAACCATACAACACACCACTCTAGGAAACTTTAGGGGAAAAAAACTCTAGAGGATCCTTGCTCCTGTATAAATACCCCTCAAAACTTCCTGCTGTCTCCTCCTCACAACACTTCCCCACCTTCTCCCTTATCTCCAGAGCTTCTTCTTTCTCTGTTCCAGCAAACTGTTTCAGAGCTCAGAAATTACACATTTCTAGAGAGAGAAAGTTCTTGTTTTCTCTCTCTCTCTCTCTCTCTCTCTATATATATATATATATATTCCATCCACAATGTCGGCTTGCGGAGACGATGATCCTCGCATCCATGGCATCAAATCTAAAATCCGTGTTGTCCCTAATTTCCCCAAGCCAGGTACACTCACACTTCCACGCTCTCTCTCTCTCTCCCCCTCCCACACACACACATCTTTGCGTGGATAAAGCTCATATATATATATATATACATATATACATATATACATATCATGAATCACAAACCCAACAACAATATTAACATGGTAGTTAAAAAAAAAAAAACACAACTGCAAAACATCCCATCACGTGGAACCATAACAACATACCAACATTAGAGCTATTAGTATTCCTCTTTTAGTGGTCTCACTCATTTTCATATATATATATATATATATATATATATTTTGTTGTGTTATAACCCACAAAAAAATAATTTTTGGTGAGTTTTGAGTAAATAGTTTTGATATGCTTATCAATGGCTGAAAACACAGGGATTATGTTTCAAGACATCACTACATTGTTGCTCGATCCAAAAGCCTTCAAGGACACAATCGATTTATTCGTCGAGCGCTACAAAGCCAAAAATATTTCAGTAGTTGCAGGTATATATATAATATTCACTCGTTCATAGATTTGATCACCGATTCACCATGATGTTTTGAACAGTTTTTTATTAATTAATTTTAATTTAATTTTTTTTTATAGCTGTGATGGGGTCTGTGTTTAAGTTGGTAGAGCAATAAAATATAGGGGGAATAATCATTCTGTTTAGTTTTAGTTTTCAAAATTTATTTTTTTAAAAAATTTATTTTTTCATTTTTTATATTTTATTTTTTCATTTTTATTGAATTTTTTTAATAATTTAAACAATTTTTTTTTTAATTTTTAGATTCACCTAATATAAATACGCTTAAAATATATAATATTTATTATTTTTTTTTTTGAAAAAATTGACTAAATATCAAAAATGAAAAAAAATAAGAAAATTCAGTATATTTGTGTATTTATTAAACTTTTAAAATATTTTTCGTAAATATTTTATTATTTAGATATATCTAAGTAAGGTATGTTTAATACAGTAAAAAAATTGTTCGAACTTTTAAAAATATTCACCAAAAATAAAAAACTTAATTTTTAAAAAACTGATTTTAGAAAATTGAAACTACACTATAGTATGCTTAGAAAAAAAAAATTATAAATTAGTGATAAAATTTATAAATTTTAATAATTAAAAAATGCTATATTTTTTATGATTTTGACCTTGTTTGGGAAGAAGGTTGGACTAAAATAATTCACTAAGGGTGTGTTTGTTTGGACAGACTGGATAAGGGGAGATTGTAATCTATCGGACTATTAGTCTCGGGATACATTGTTTTCGGACTATTTGGTTGGATGGGATTTGTATCATCTGTTTGTTTAATTACGGGATTATATGTTTGGATTGAATTATTTATAATGAATCAAATGTTTGGTTAGACGGACTGGATAAAAATAAATGTTTAAAAGACTATTTTACCCTTGTAATTTATAATTTTTATTTAATATATAATTTTAAATTTGTAATCTATAATTTATAATTTAACAACACTAATAAAATTTAATTTATAAGTCCATAATTTTTAATTTATCATTTTCAATTAAATTAAATTAAATTTATAATTTATATTTTTTATTTAATATATAATTTTAAATTAACGACAATAAAAAAATAATTTTATTTAATATATAAATTAAATTTTCAACAACACTAAAAAAATTTTAATTTATAAGACCATAATTTATAATTTATATTTTTTATTAAATATATAATTTTAAATTAACAACACTAAAATTTTTTTTTTATTTAATATGTAAATTTAATTTTTTAACAACACAAAAAAAATTTAATTTATAAGGTCATAATTTATAATTTATAATTAAATTTAATTTATAATTTATAATTTAAATTTTTTATTTAATATATAATTTTAAATTAACAACACTAAAAAAATAATTTATAAATGTTCAAAAGACTATTTTACCATTTTCTAATTGTTTACTAAGTAATAGCATGGAGGGTAAAATGGACATTTCTCAAAATAATTTCATGGGATACCAATCCTATGGTTTCTATCCCACTCTCCCATGAGATAGGATAATCCCATATTTGTCGGACTATTAGTCCAGAGCAAAATATTTCAAACAAACAATGGACCGGACTAATAGTCCAATCCCACACCTTAAGATAGGAGAACGAAAAAAAATTACCTGCACATGGGGGTGCAAGCCTGTGTAGTGAGGTACAAATGAAAGACTATGGGGTGCAACTATCATATCAATTATAAAAAAATCAATTATCTTTTTAAAAATAACTATTTTAATCAAGTTAAAATAAACAAAAAAAAAAAAAAAAAAAAAAACTAAATAGCCAACTTCCCGAGCAATTGACTTCTCATATATATATATATATATATTTATAGTTACCCCTGAATTTGAATTTTAATTTCCCCTTAAATATACTCCATATACATTTAACGGACAATGATGATACAGTAGGTATTGACTTTTGATTTATTTGACCCCGAATGATATTAGGGCGTATCCCCATTTGAAAGTGTGACTCATATATCAATAGTATGGTGGTGTTTGGGAAGCAACTTCCCAAATTTTTTTCTCATTTTTTCCACTAAAAGACAAAAGTTTTGCAAAATCAAAAAAAACACATACAAACAAAATATCACATCCAACCCCATAATCATTTCACTTTTTCTCTCACAAACATCACATCCAACCACATAAAAACCCAACTATCTTCCCAAACACCAAAAATTTTTTATCTCATAAAAACCTACATCTACTAAAATCTACATAAAAACTCACTTCCCAAACACCATCTATATGACCTGAGGTTAAAAACAGTTTTTTTAGCATTTTTAATCTTTTTGGATCACATTATTTATTTATTTATTTATATTTTTAAAAAATTTAAAAAATTAACTTTTAACCTCTATTAATCACATTATCTTTTTATTTATTTACATATTTTTTTTAAAAAAGCAAAAAAATTAACTTTTAAGCTTCTTTCAAAACAATAATGGTATAATTGCATAAAATTCTGAGTGACTTTTTTAATGCTTTTGAGGGACATTGTGGAAGTGACAGTGGGTTGGGAGTGATTTTTAGGTTGACAATAGAGGTTGTTGTTTGTTGAGTGGAGTGTGTTATTGATTACTTTTCTGTGAAGATTATGAGGGGCTCAGAGGGCAGTCTCTCTGTGGCATCTGCTTTGATTTAATTTGGGTGGATGGTGGTTGGTGATGATGAATACCCACCTGCGGACCCACCCTTGTTTTGCACACCTTCATTCTATGATTTCAACACCACCGTCGGATGAATTGATTCTAATAATCCTCAATTTAATTTATCTACATATATATATATATATATATTTTTTTTCCGTATGCTTTGTCTTTTAATTTGTGTTTGTATCTGGGTGCCATTTCACATTTGGTGTTCGGATCAATTATTGTTGGAACCCTCCCTTGAGGTCCAGAGTTCACTTTTATCAATGGGTTTTCTTGTCCTCTGTCGTTTGGTGAATTGTATAATGCTTTTTGTTCAATTTCTTGGAACTTCCGCTGAATTCTTGTCATGGAGCTATTGCATTTTATCTTTTGTTTCATTCTTTTATTTTCATTGAGCGCTTTTTACTAAAAGTTTGGTTCTTTAATGAAAGCAAATGTTATTTTGGAAATTATTATAAGCCTTCGTTTGACAATGTCTTTTTTAATTGACTTTTTTGACTTTTTCAGCTTGGGACTTTTTTGTTCGTTTGGTATTCTTGATTGATTTTTTTGATTTTTTAGCTTTGGAATGGATTTTTTTTTGTCCTTCTGTGATTTTTTAGCCCAACCCAAAAACCAAACGACCCCTAAATCTCAGTGAATCTTGTCATAATTGATTTGTATGTTGACAATATCAACATGGTATTTTTGGTTGTTGCAGTGCTTTAAATTACTCACACTCCTAGAAATTCATAGGAACTTGAATAATTTTCCATGAACTCTTCATTGCTATAGGGCTCTCAGCTTCCATTTTCATAAAATTTGATTAAAAAATATAATATGGACCATATGGTTCAAAAGAGATTCCTGGTTTGTCCATCAAGGGGTTTAGGGCATATTAAAATTTTTAACCACTAGCCTTGAAACCATGATATTCAAGTGGTTGGTTATTCAATTTTTAACCAGTAGCCTTGAAACCAGTTTCGAAGCCTGTTTCAATGCGTACTTAAAGCTTTTAATGTCAATTTCAGTAAACCTTTTCAATGCAGCATGTACTCTCTATATTTTGAAGTAAGTGTTAAAAACATGGCTTCAGTTTTCTATTTTATATTTTGATTTTGGTGGGAAAGTTTTTGCTTTGGCTTTAGTTGAGTTAGAGGTTTGAGTGCAACCAAGCAAACACAATTGAAAGAGACTGCTGTCCTTGGAAGAAATTTCTCATTTTGATGTCACTATGGCGATGATCAAATATGGCAGACTTTGCATGTATATACGCACACATATGGGGCAGCCCACTGCATGACGTTCCTGCCACTTATCTAAATATATATGTGGGGATTGCTACTGCCCTCTATAGTAGAGTGAGCTCCCCTATTTTTAAAAGCCATAAGATAATTCATTATAATTGAGTTTATGAGGTTATTGGAGGGGTATCCTTTTAGCACTTTGTCGTCTCCCCTTCCATCTCTTTATGATGGCTGGGTTGATACTATTTCCATCCAGATCCCAGTTTATAAATGATTTAGGCAATTGTAGTGTAGCTGGTGGGTAGCAAGACCTATGGTGTATCATTCTGTGGGAATGCTTCTCCATTTTTGTCACTGCAACCACCACTGTTGAGACACAATAATGTCCTTGCTGCACAATACCTCAACTAACACCAATATCCACCATCAAATTTCAGCAAAGCCTTTAGACTTGCCGTCTATGGAGCTAGAAAGCACGGATATGGATACGAGATACGGATACGATACGGATACGGTGATACAGCTAAACCTTAAAAAGTAGGATACGGGTACGGCTAGGATACGTTTGTAAAAAATAAAAAATAAAAAAATTATTAGCAGTGAGTTACACTTAAGCTCAAGAATGTTGAGAAATCACAGTAACCTTATGATGCGAAATACTAATTTTTAAGAATTAAGTATTAATTTAAGGCAATAGCTAGTTTAGTTTTTAAATTTTCAATAGATCTTACAAATATTTCATTTCAATATCAAGTTTAATATGTTGATATTATAATATCAAAACAATCCACAACTTGGTCTTACAAATATTTCATTTCAATATTAAGTCTAATATGTTGATATTATAATATCAAAACAATCCACAACTTGACCATATGCTTTTTCCTTTTGCACTAGTCAAAAATATTATATGCAAGTTTATTTGCTCATTTATTTATTGATATTTAATTTTACTATTATATTATCTTATTAATCATTACTTCTATATAGTTATAGGGGACATGCATAATACAATAAAGATATGTCAATTTGATGAATTCTATTACTTTAGCTTACTATGTTATTTTTATAAAAAAAACTAAGCAAAGTATTGTAAAAATATTTTATTTATCCTCACAATTATATTATATTATGATGTTATGTAAGAAATGATGCAATTCTAATTTCGTAAAAGGACTAATATGTGTCTTGGAGCATTTGATACTTTAGAATTAATTAAGAAATATCTGATAATATGTGAATTGGAGCATCCGATACTTCAAAACTAAGTATCCGATACTTCAAAATTAATGAAAAATTAATTAAGAAGTATCTGATACTTTTAACAAGTATCTGATACGTATCCGTAAGTATCCAATGAGTATCGGTATCCGATACGGATACGTCTTCCTATTTGAAGTATCCGTGCTTCATAGCTATGGAGTGTTCCAAGAACACTTCATGATTTTTGACCGCTTACTTCCTATAAATTCTAAAACAGCCATTTTATTGTTTCTGATGGTTACTCTTTCAGGATAAGGTAGCCAGATTGATCCTTCCTCCAAGGAAATATGAGAATGGAGAAGTTAATGTTAAAAGTACACATGAACCCTTTAATTAATTAAAAGAACTGAATTTGGTGTAAAAAAACTAGACCACTAGAAAATAAGGGAAATTGCATCTTTCATTTCTATTGTAGGAAATTAGTGTGTCCCTACATATATGTAGATATATATCAAAGTAAGTGATTTTATGTCACATCCCTTCCCTTTGATTAAAAATTTAGAGTTGTTTTGTTATTTTCTCCATTCACTGTTGCATGGTTGCATATGGGGTGTACATAACCTTTCAATGAATTTAAAGGTGATATTTGGAAAGTGTTGGGGGATAATTGCCTTGGAACACAACCAGATCTTTTAGCAGTGGCTATGAAAAGTTGGTGTACACAGTTATGTGATTTCAATTTCTTGGACGCTAAAATAGGTCAAAGTACTCAATGTCAGTCCACTATCTGTACCATGAAGTGGCACAAGACAGATTGAAAGCAAAGGGAAGGGAGGTTCCCTGTCCTTTCTAACCTTCCGATGCACACGGTCATGTGGTCATTTAGAGTTTATTTAAGATGTAGTTTGGGTTTATGAAATTTTCCTACAAAGTTTTTAAGTAAGTCACTGATTATTTTGTATTGGTGGATCATAAATTCAATTCTAGTTCTAATTTTCTGTAATGGATTTGATATTTCTATATATTGTATCTCAACCATAGTTCTATATCAGAACTATGGTGACTATGGTGCCTGAATTTCTCTATTACATGAGGAGACAGAATGTCCACAAGTTATTGCACTTTACCATGCAATATTGATAAAGTTGGTGTCTTGATGGTGGCAAAGGGAGGGCTTTGATTTATATGTAGTCTACAAGTCTGCATGATGCTTTATGTACTTATTTGGATTAGATTATGGAGAAGTCTGTGATTCTTATGCAACAGAGAGTTCATTATCTCCAAAGTTGATTATACAAGCATAACTGTTGAATGGATAATGATGTATCAACATCTTTTCATATGTTCATACAGTCTAAAGTCAAATGTAGTATCTCTTTCAAAATTTTATTCTTGATGTAGGCATGCTTATGCTAGCCTGTACTAACTCTCTGGCCCTTTTCCCCTTCTGAAAAGTTATGCTAGCCTGTACTAACTCTCTGGCCCTTTTCCCCTTCTGAAAAGTTTATTTGAGTAGTCTTTTTTTATTTTTCTCTTTCTTGTTGGTAATATTTTTGCTGACTTATCTTTTGTTTTTGTTAGACTCACTTGTCTTTTGTTTGTTAATACTTTGAAGTTTACTCTCAAGTGTGAACATAAATTGGTGGTTTTAATTATCTGAGGTGTCTTTTTGCCTGTCTTGCTACCATAGTTCTAAATCGTAGGATCGGTCGGGACATGTAACAGTAACAATAGTGGTGTAACTGCATTGGGAGCCGGACCAATATTCTTTAGAATTGGTGTATGTATCTGTTATGGACCAGTTCGTATTGTGAACCGGCTGGTTTGCTTGCGAAATTTATTCACATCAGGAAACCGGTGTGTATCCAAATCAGAGTGCCAAAATATGGTTCGAACTGGTAGATACATGACAAACCAGCCGGTTTTTAACACCATGCTTGTCATTGGACTTGTTTAAGTCACAAATAGTACTTTTTTCCTTTCTGTTTTCCAATTTTGGCATGTTAGCATATGCTGTATCTGGTTAAACTTCTCTGGAAAAAAAAAATCTGATTGAACTATGATTGAAATAGTTATCTCGTGCATTCTTTGCTCAATATGAGGCCTGTTTTTGTTTTGCTAGGTATAGAGGCTCGGGGATTTATATTTGGCCCTCCCATTGCATTGGCCATAGGAGCAAAATTTGTCCCTTTGAGAAAACCAAGGAAGCTGCCTGGTATATTTCATCCATACTTTTATATGATCTTTAGTAGTGTGTTGTTAAATGTGAATTTCCTATTTATTTGCTACTTTTGTGGTATCTAAGTAGCATTCTTTTTTTCTTCTTTTTTATACACTGTTGGCTCTTGGTGATGCTATTATGATCTATTGCATCCTTTTATGTCTTTCTTCTAAAAACATATCTATCTTTGATTCATCACCATATTTTTCATATGCCCTCTTTATTCAAATTAGCAGTCATTATATACTAATCGACTCTGATGCTTTTTTTTTTATTATTTTTTTTAATAGAAACTTCAGAAATGTATATAGTTTTAACTTGATTAGGGCATCCCTCTTCTTAGGTGTTCTTGCTTATGTGGATTGTATGCTTAAAATAATATATTTGAGTGCTACCTTTCCAAACATTGCTGTGGATTTCATATTTTGGTTGAATATCTCTGTTTAATCTGTGTAATGGCACACTACGATTATATTATGACTGCCCAAGTATATGATGTTGGTCACTTTAGGTTAGAGCCTTGCCTCAACAAGATTTCTTGGAGTTGGCTCAACCCAACATGAACCAACAAACTGTGCTCATTTTATTTTTTGTTTTCCCAATAAGTTTGTTTCTGATTCTTGCTTATATCACAGAATGCGTTTTGCCTGTCTAGTTTATTGCCAGCCCATTTACTGTTCTATGTAGTTGAAGTTTATCTAGATATTTCAGGGCTTTGTATTACATGCTACAAAGAATCAGGCAATTGAGATAACTTGCTTTAACTTTTTGCTTTAAACTCTACAGCCTTGAAACTGTCCTTGTAGTCTGACTTGAGATTCGAGTAACTGTCATGTGTATTTGTGCACTGATGATGTTCCTTTTGATGGTTGATATAAGTATCTTATGAGTCTTGTGGAACCACAGTTTTGAAATCTTGTGGTGATGTTGTTTTATTTATTTTTGGGGCAGCCAAAGTTATTTCAGAAAAATATATCTTGGAATATGGAACGGACTGTCTAGAGATGCATGTTGGAGCTGTTGAACCTGATGAACGAGCTTTGGTGGTCGATGATTTAATTGCTACTGGTGGAACCCTTTGTGCAGCAATGAATTTATTGGGTACTCTCTTGTAAACCATTAGTCTTAGCTTATGAGGTCCCGTAAAAGATATGTCCTCTTCTTCTTCTTTTTAAATTTCAATTTAAAAATATAACTACATTCTTCATGTGGAAAATGATTTGGCTTAAGAGGGATAAGATCTTGATTGGAAGACATGCATATTCACAATAATATGAATTTGGCTGATATAAACAATTTTATACATATTCAGAAAACAAAAACCTCCTGTTTATTAGACACTGATATCTTGTGGACCGATGAAGTTACCTTGATAAGGGCTCCTAGTTGAGCAGGTTAGATTTGGTGAAGGCCAAATGTTGTGCCAACACTTGGAAATAAGTATTGAAGAGGCTGTTACCCAATTCAACCTTGAACCAAGGAATTGGTTCAGTCATGTTAGCGAGGTTGTTTGGTTAGCAAAATAAATAAACTAAATTTAACATATGCCTATTATACAATTGCTCTTTCTTAACGCCACAAGTATTGTAACCATAAATCTCTTACATCATTGGATGGAGAGTCAAAACAACATGCATTCCAATGACCAAGTGATAATAGTGACTAATTGTTTAAAGTGAAGATCATTTTGAGATAGGACAGAGGACATCTCATATAGGTTTATCAGTAGTTCAAATGTAGAATGAAAATCCCTCTTACTTCTATGTAAATTGATACTGCTTAAAGGTCCTTGTAGGTTCAAGTTGGGCCTGGGCACTAGGCCTCAACTCATGCTCTATCCTGCTCAAAAGTCTCAATTCAATCCTAGTGTGGTTAGTGGTTGGATTGGACTGCAGTTTGATCTGCTTGGGATCGTAGCTCTAGCTTAGGCATGCTCATGACAAGAGTTGAACTTAGATGGAAAAAATAGGAATAGAAGTTAAGCTAAGTGATTTTTTGGCATAAATTATTTATTCTTGTTACATTCAAAGAGGTTGATGTCTTCCAAAAGAATGTGGCACTATGTATTTTGGATGAGTAAGGATAGTGCGTGAGCTATACTGATCTGTAAACTAGTCCATTGTTTGCGTGCAAGAATTTCAAAATTATATCACATGTTATCTGGAGTTTTATCATATTGCTTCTAGTGTATGTTTTCATTGTAATCACTTAATGTGGTTTGTTCTTAAATATGTACTCTTAAAATTAATTTCACTGCCAAGGCTATATTATTATCGTTTGGGGAGTGGCTATTTTAGCCAAAAAGCCAAAAAGCCAACTAAAACTAGTCACATCACCTCTCTATTTTTCTGCACATCTTTTCGTAAAAAGTTAAAAAGTTACTAAAATAGCCTGTTCCCAAACGAGGCCCTCCAAAGTGTTTAATTATGTTGAGAAATATTCATGAATCAAAATATCCCAGAGCTATGAAGCATGGGTACTTCGACAAATATGCTGTATCGTATCGGGTACTTATCAGTGTATGGTACTTCGTATAGTACTTTTGCATACGTACCGTATCTAAATTTTTTTCTTCTTAATTTTTGATTTATCCAGACATACTTACCCAAACCGTATCATGCCTCAGTTGAAATTATATTTTTTTCTACTATAGAGATAAAATTTCTTTCATTGGATTTTTTATTTTTATTTATAGTTTTATGCTTAGCATGATTTTAAAATTAAACTATGGTTTGTAAGGTAATTAATATAATGACATTTAATTTTGATTTATATTTTTATTTTTGACATTAAATGTTAATTGTAGGTTAGATCTTAACAAATTAAACCATTTAATCATTTTTTGTATTATTCCAAATTAAAATAAATATTTTTTTATGAACGTAACAAGCTGTACCCGTATTTGTACTCTACTTTTTTTTTGAATTTTACCGTATTGACGTACCCGTTTCCGTGCTTCATAGGCCCAGAGAAGGCATGCAATTTATGCCATGACATATCACCTAAGTAGCATGAACATGGACATGGCTACGGACCACAAATATTTTGAAAAATTTAGGATACAGAGTGGAGATACGGCAACTTTATTTTTATTTCTATTTGCTATGACTATGAGCCCTCGTTTGGCATAGCAAATTTTGGAGCTAAAAGGTTAAAGTAGTAAAAAAAAAGACGAAATAGGGTAAAAAGTCAAGACAAAATATCACATCCAAACTATAATAATTTCATTTTTTCTCTCACAAAAGTTAAAAAAGTCAAATAGCCTATCTGAAATGAGATTTTTTAAACCCAGGCTAAAATAGTTAAAAAGTCAATTCACATCCCAAACGAAGCCTATAAATTTAGGGCATGGAGATATAAGAGACATCAATGTATATCTAGGTGCATTTAATTTAATTTTTTTTTCTTTTCACTTTCCTCCTTTGTTTTCATATAAGTTACTTCGATCCCAAATTATCTTTCTAAAATTATAAAAATGAAACTCATGAAGGTGTTCTAAGACACACCCAAAAGTAGGACATGCATGTCCGTGAAGTGTTCCCAAAGTATCTTGCAAAAAACATAATTAAAAAAATTAACACACCATGTGATGTGTTTGACATGTGGGCACACGTGTCCCTGACATATTGGATGCGACACCCATTTTAAAGTGTTAGTGCTTTATAGCACATTGTTTATTTCATTTTTGTTCTAGTGTCTTTCATTGACATAACTAAATGACAATCACCGTCTTTGTTTAGAAAATAATATTTTTCTATTTCTGGGGACTTTAATTAAATTTAGACCTCTTGCGTTATTTACTTTAGGCGTTGAACATATCCTTCCGATTAATACATATTAATGAGAACCCTGTATGTGTCTGAGTGATTACTGATTACTGTCCTTGCTGGAATTATATATTTTTGGGTGCAAATTAGGATCTATTTACTTGAATATGTCTTTTCTCAGAACGTGCTCGGGCTGAAGTTGTTGAATGCGCATGTGTAATTGAGTTACCAGATTTAAAGGTGTGTACATTATGCACCCTTGGCTACTTTCACTTCGTTAAATATTGGTTTGTACTTAATGTGGCTTCAGTGCTTAAATATCAAATTAATCAATTGATTGTGTGCTCTCGCTTCTGCTTTACTTTGCATTTGACTATCCGAATGAACTGCCACCCTTTGATATACTGTCGGGTGGTAATCTTGGACATTGCAGGGCCGTGAGAGATTGAACGGAAAACCATTATATGTACTTGTGGAGTCTCACTAGTACATACACCTTCAGACGATACTATTATTCTGTCGCCGTGCTGCAGCATGATAAAATGTACATTAGAGGGGCTATTGTTTGTTGGCTTTTATCTCGTCTTCATTATTTTCCCCATTTCTTCGAGTATTCGAATTTTGAGTAACCTTGGTGGTGCCTTTTTCCTTTCTAGTGTAGGAACACCAAATACATGCGAAAGGGGTTGTTGAGCAATGCTCGTAGGAGTAACTCATTTCGTGAAACAACGGAATTGTATTACCTATTTTAAGTTTGTTATTGAGTGGGCTGCTCAAGTAGCCTTTGTTGCATATGGATTGTGAGTGTTATTTATTTATTTAATTTAATTATTATTATTTCACAATCATTAGAAAGCGAATGGGGAAGCAGAAATTGTATTCGAATTCAGGCATCACAGGCACACACAAGGGCTTCTGTTTTGTTTCTGAATCATTCTGTGAATAGTCTGCACTATTGCTTTTTGGTGGTAAACATGTGGTCTATGTGATGCCGGTGTTCCTTGGACCACTGTATTCTGCCCAGGGCAGGCTTGAGTACCAAGTACAACCCATCCTTCATATGTGTCTGGAAGCTAGTTCAATTATTATTGAAAAATTACACTGCATACTCTCATAATATTAAATTATGTTATTTATTATGATCAAATTTACAAATGCCATTTGTGTATACCATAACATTACCCTTGAGAAATACCAATCAATGGTAATCTCTGAAACTTATTACAGATCCATGAAAAAGTTTATAGTTTTAATTATTAATGTTTATAAAGTTTACTATTTATTTGTAATAATTTTTCAAAATATGGACTGAATTGAAATTTTCCCTCCATGAGAAAATTATCATTCAGTTCTAATCTAATAAACTTATCACACATTCATGAAAAAGTTTATAGTTTTAATTATTAATATTTATAAAATTTTCCGCTTATATATGTTTGGATTAGATTATATGTCACATCTTATCCCGAATATAGCTGACAAATCTCTCCTGGATAGAGTGAAATTTATACACTTGTTACATTCACATTAAGGACAATAATAACAGATAAACAAAAAAACATCAGACAGATGTAAAGGAAATTTAACTTAATCCTACTACATACATACAAAATTTAGTGCTGAAAACATTTATTCAAAAACATTTGCAAACTAGGGTGTAACTCTCACCTATGTACATGTATAATATTTACACACATCTATTCTCAAAAAAGACTTCTCAACATAAAACCTAGACTTGACAGTGAACCCACATATCTCTTGCACACTTGAAATAAAAAAAAGAAAAAAAAAATACAGTAGGAGTGTGAACTATCAATAAACTTAGTGAATGTACTAACTCATAATAATAATAACTGAAAAGAGAAATAAATAGCTCAAAAGCAATTAACATTCACATAAGTACATCTCATGCAAGTTACTGTTGGCCCCAAGTCACCTATCATAAATAATTAGCCTCAAGGCATTGTTCCGAGGACAAAATATTAAACGTCTCTAAAACAATGCAATAACATCTCCTGGATAACAAGACACAACGTCTCCAAAACAATACAACGAATCGGCTCCAAGCCAATAAATTTGTAACATTCATTAACAAGCATCATGTAAATAATTCAATTGGTACTAATTATGAATTTATATACTCACACCATAAACAAAAACTCATTCAATTGGAATTTAAAATTTGATTTAATATAACTACTAAAGAACAAGAATGAATTTTTACCTATGTGATTCCATTTCATAATATAATCCCAACCCAGCCAAACATTTAATTGGATTGAACCATAATCATACAAGAACTATTCTTTATAATCAGGTATATATATATACACACATGTATATATATATATATATATAATCACAAGATTCAAAACCCTAATGTTGTGTTTGGTTGAGAGATTTGGAGAGGGATTTAGAAATGAAAAGGGAAAATGTGTGTGAAACTAGGTGAAATGTAAGTATGTTTTATTCACATTTCACTTAACTTTTCCATTTCCATTTCCAAATCCCTCATCAAATCCCCCAATCAAACACAGCATAAAGCAATTCCGTTCATTGAATTACAATTTCTACACAAAAATGGTTAATATATTTAATGGATAAATAATGGGAATTACTTACAAATTCTAAATGTACGGGGAGGAAATAATTCTCCTCGTATAATCCTGTTGACCAAGTCCACGCTCCTCCGTACGACGTCGCTTTGTCACCTGAAATTTTTTTTTTTTTGAAGAGTAGTTCAGCCAAAGTAATAAGAAAACAGAGGGTTGCTAGGTGGGAGACATGCAAGGATTTGAAATCAGTCCCAAGTCTTTTTATTTATTTGCATTCTCCGCCCTGCGACTTCGTAAATTATACTTAAACCAACCACAGTTTATCATAACAACTGTACTAACCCCTCTTTAACATTTTATAGTCATAACTAATAGATTGAATTAAATTAGAGTGTTGCTATTGGCACGTCTCTAATTTTTTTGGAACCCTCAATTCTTACTTTTATTTATTTATTATTATAATTATACCTTGAAGTAAAATTATATTAAAGGATAACTTTCAATGGAACACTCACCCACCAAATAAAAACAATTATAATGGCACTCTACAATATTGTACATCCATCTCTATCCCCATCTATATGTATTCCTAACCAACCTAAACCCTAAACCGTATTCTTCTTTATCACCATTCTAAACCCACTTATTCATCTTCAACGAAAAAATTTGAAACCACCCAATCAGTTAATATTTTGTCCGGTAGTTTCAAATGTGTTTAGTATTTCAAATCAGTTAATGTTGAAAATAATTCTATTACAGACTCTGAGTTTCTACATTTGTGGTCATTTTCACCATTCGTTGATACTTATAGAGCAATGGAGGACGATGACAATAACTCAGATGAATTTGGCATTGCATTAGTAAGTTTATTTATCTTGCATTTACGATTCTAGGTCGTTTTTTGTTCGGTACTAATTTGTCGACTGTTAAGGATCTGTTCAATAATACAGTGCTGAACATAAACATTTTGTTTAGTACTAGAATGTCAAATGGTTTCATTTTGTAAGATTTTTTCCTATTTCTATTTTTTCTAAGGGTTTTTCCCTCTAAAACCCCCTGCATCAAGAGTTTTACCCTGAAATAAACAAAAAAATAATATGTGATGGGGAATTAGAGGTTACATGTGAGAAGAAGAAAGAGACCGTCAAAGAGATTTTCAACAAGATTTTCAATTGAGATACCGTTGTTCACGGTAACAATAAGAAAAAGACCATTGTTTATGAGAGAAGAAGAAGAGAGGGACAGTCGATTCGTCTTTCAATCATTTGTTGTTTTCCATCATTCATCGTTTACTGAAAGAAGAAGAAGAGAGGATGTGCACTTGGGTGTGATGATATTATGAATATGGGTAAAATTGGTATTAGGTGAAATGTTCAGAAAAATCTAATTAGAATTTAGAATTTAGGGTAGGGGTTCAAAGAAATTGAGGGTACAAAGAAATTACGTAGATGTTAATAGCAGTCATTTTAAATTACAAACCTCGATATTTAGAGTGTAAATATTACAATTCTTTGCTCCTAATTAAAATTTTGTCTCGAAATTTACTTGCTAAAACAAATAAGGGTATTGAATCTTCACATTTTCTTCGTTTTCCAAGTTGCCTCTTCTGTTGTGTGACTCGTCCATAAGACTTCCACTGGTGGTATTGTTTTGTGTACGGGAAAGAAATAAACCTTCTCATATAATCCTGTTGATCAAGTCTGCACTCCTCCGAACGTCGTCGCTTTATTCCCTGAAAATACAAACGTGAGCTAGCTGGCGGGTGTGTGCCGGATACCTCTCCGATGCCTAAGTTAGCAAACAGACAAATAGACAAAAGCTCTGTGTATTCAGGAATCAAAGTTGTGTTACCTCTCCATAGGTGATGTTATGAGCTTTTATAGGTTCCGTATGGCACAATCCTAATAGGACTCTTACTCCTCCATGTAGAGTTCTCCTAAGATTCACACTCCTGAAAGATAATGCTTATCCTTCAACACCCTCCTCACTGCTTAAACCAAGTGAGATGGTTTTACCTTGGCAGGATGACCATACGACCGAGATAACTGTCAGATCGGCTCTTTACTTCCTCACTTCTACCTCGGCTTTGCATACCAGGACCGAGCTATCCGTAGAAGAGTTGGACCGAGCTGACCAAGAACAAAAGTCCCGAAGAAGGCTAGGTATACCTCGGTTAAAGATTACGACCGGGCCAACCAATTTGGCCGTGGCGACCGAGATAACAACAAGGCCTTCTTGGACCGAGCTAATGAAAAAAGCCATTTTACTCCGCTTTTCTTACTACGGCCCAAAGCGGCCCATTACCCAATCTCGGCCCAATTTATTCATACAAATTACCCTCTCAATTGCCCCTTAATTCCATCTGCGCAGCATGATGGGATTACCTTGTCTTCCAGCCGAGCTAAAAAATTTTAATCTTACTACCGAGCTAAGCCTTTAAGCTTTTCCAGCCGAGCTAAAACTCTTTTAGCCTTTCCAGCCGAGCTAGGCTCACACCGGTCTGTACCTGTCCGGTTTAAACGTCTTTTCAATCACAGCAACTGAATCGCTTCTTATCCCCAAGGACACGTGGCATACTCTTATTGGCTGAAGGTAGCTGTCACGTCGTCATCGTACCTCGTGTTTTTTGAACAGTCCCGCCCAAATTTTGGGTCTCGCATCAAAACAAACTCTTTTTGTTTCTCTTTTTGAATCACTCACACCACTATTCATCTCTTCTCTCTCTCTTTCTCGCATTCCTTCTTGTAACTAAGGAGCTCGTGTTCTTCACTGCCATTGCTTCATCTTCAGTGCTTCTACCCCTTCATCTGGTAAGTCACTCAAATCCATCTTTCTTGCTTTTGTTGTTTTCGTATTTGCTTTATACAATCCACAACAATCTGTTTATGTGTTTTTACAAAACACTGTTTTTGCTTTTCTTTTGCCTTATTTTCTGGGAAAAAACTTCATGAGAACCCCGTGAACTTTACGAAGCAATCTGTAGAACACTCTGTTTGATCCATAAACATGTCTCAACCGAACTAGGATACTGTTTATGCTATGTGTAAGTCTAGCCAGACCTTTCAACCGAACCAACACTTGTACCAGTAGTTTTAACAAGTCAAAAAACCATCTTTTTTATTTATCTTAGCCGAGATAACAAACCGAACTAGGTCTGTACTTAGTGTGTTTGAAGGCCTCAATTCCGACCGAACTATCTTGGGGCTAAACCAGCACTCTTAGTTCAGACCGAACTAAGAAAGCTACCCCTAGAATTTCAACCGGTCTAACAAATCACTTGCCCCAACCGAGCTACCAAGCACCTTGCTGAAACCGAGATAGGACCTGCAACATTTCACAAAGCCGAAGTAGGACTTAACTTGTTTTTACTTTGTAGCACGGTCTAAAGATCTGTGCTTAACACTTCTATTTTTTCACT